ATAAATAAAAGATAAAATGGCTATAATTTATTTAATTTTAATCATATTTTAAATATAGCACTGTATACTGTTCAAAATGTATATAGTGAAGATTTTATCTTCCTGCTATCTGCCCACACTGTCTTTCTCTTCCCACTATTCCTCAACCATCAGTTATCCCCAGAGGAAAACACTATTATCAATTACATATGTTTTTCTCTAGGAAACTCCCATGCTTACACAAATAAGCTTATATATGCCAGCTATTTGGAATCTTGCTTTTCATTAAACAGTATATCTTATAGATATTTTCATGACAGATGTACAGATGTACCTAATTCTTTTAAAAAGCTGTATCTTAATATTTCAGTATATGAAATTACAACAGTTTTATATAACCATTCTCCTACTGATGGATATATAAGTTGTTTCAAATATTTTTTATTACCAACATTAACAAACAATAGCAAAAAAATTGAACATCTGATGTGAATGGATTTTTAATTCAAATATTTAAATTTTACTTATTCCTTATATTTCAAATAATATTTAAGGTCATATTATTAAGATTATTTCATATATAATGAAACCTAGTATTTTGCTTATAGATCTGTCTAAATTATGCTCAAATCAGCTTAATTCAAATATGTCATTGAATTCTGTAAGCATAATACATGTTGCTGGACATCGGTAAAGATTTGTTGGAACATGAGAACAATTAATTCACCACAATTTTCCCAGTTAAAGTAATTTATTTGTTTTTTATTTTTTTTAAAGAGAGAGAGAGAGAGAGAGAGAGAGAGAGAGAGAGAGAGAGAGAGAGAGAGAGAGAGAGAGAGAGAGAGAGAATTTTTTAATATTTATTTTTCAGTTTTTGGTGTACACAACATCTTTATTTTATTTTATATGGTGCTGAGGCTGGAAACTAGTGCCCCATGCATGCCAGGTGAGCGCGTTACCGCTGGAGCCACATCCCCTCAAATAATTTAGATTATAGGAAGAAAAATGTGTTATTATGTAAATACCATTCAAAATATTCCTGGTGCATTTGTTTGTTATAAGCTATTTTTGGAAATCTCTCCAGATTTATATGTTTCTTAAACTTACCCTTCTGTGATCAACTCTCATTTTTCTCTGTTTCTTCTAAACATCCTCACAAATATAAGAAAAACTTCTCTTATGTTCACAGGGGATTCCTAAGCCAGTCAATTAATGATGGTATAATGATTATCTTTTATAGACCAATCCTACACTAAGCCGCCTGTGAATTATAAAGCAGGATAAAACATTTTGTTTTATTAGGTAAGAGTTCAGTTGGATAGTTGAAGCAAGGCATAAATATAAGAACAATTAAAAGGAATTCAGGCTATTAATAATAGTTTTATATGAATACATATGACATTGTATGCCAGTTCCTCTCATTTCTTTTTTCCAGGTATCACTCTGATTTGATCTTTCCTTTTTTCATTTTCCCAGATTTTACCATGCTCTGACTCCTAGCTCTTTCATAACCAAAACATTTTTTTAAATTTATTTTTTAGAAGTAGTTGAACACAATACCTTTATTTTATTTATTTTTATGTGGTTCTGAGGATCGAACCCAGGGCCTCACATGTGCTAGATGAGCACTCTATCACTGAGCCACAACCCCAGCCCTGAAAACATTTTTTTATTGGTTGTTCAAAACATTACAAAGCTCTTGACATATCATATTTCATACATTAGATTCAAGTGGGTTATGAACTCCCCAAATACAGATTGCAGAATCGCATCGGTTAACATAATGCCATATTAGTAACTGTTGTATTCTGCTACCTTTCCTATCCTATACTATCCCCCCTCCCCTCCCCTCCCATCTTCTCTCTCTACCCCATCTACTGTAATTCATTTCTCTCCTTGTTTTTTTTCCCATTCCCCTCACAACCTTTTATATGTAATTTTGTATAACAATGAGGGTCTCCTTCCATTTCCATGCAATTTCCCTTTTCTCTCCCTTTCCCTCCCACCTCATGTCTCTGTTTAATGTTAATCTTTTCCTCCTGCTCTTCCTCCCTGCTCTGTTCTTAGTTGCTCTCATTATATCAAAGAAGACATTTGGCATTTGTTTTTTAGGGATTGGCTAGCTTCACTTAGCATAATCTGCTCTAATGCCATCCATTTCCATGCAAATTCCATGATTTTGTCATTTTTTAGTGCAGAGTAATACTCCATTGTGTATAAATGCCACATTTTTTTATCCATTCATCTATTGAAGGGCATCTAGGTTGGTTCCATAGTCTAGCTATTGTGAATTGTGCTGCTATGAATATTGATGTAGCAGTATCCCTATAGTATGCTCTTCTAAGGTCTTCAGGGAATAGTCCGAGAAGGGCAATAGCTGGGTCAAATGGTGGTTCCATTCCCAGCTTTCCCAGGAATCTCCATACTGCTTTCCAAATTGGCCGCACCAATTTGTAGTCCCACCAGCAATGTAGAAGAGTACCCTTTTCCCCACATCCTCGCCAGCACTTGTTGTTGTTTGACTTCATAATGGCTGCCAATCTTACTGGAGTGAGATGGTATCTTAGGGTGGTTTTGATTTGCATTTCTCTGACTGCTAGAGATGGTGAGCATTTTTTCATGTACTTGTTGATTGATTGTATGTCCTCCTCTGAGAAGTGTCTGTTCAGGTCCTTGGCCCATTTGTTGATTGGGTTATTTGTTATCTTATTGTCTAATTTTTTGAGTTCTTTGTATACTCTGGATATTAGGGCTCTATCTGAAGTGTGAGGAGTAAAAATTTGTTCCCAGGATGTAGGCTCCCTATTTACCTCTCTTATTGTTTCTCTTGCTGAGAAAAAACTTTTTAGTTTGAGTAAGTCCCATTTGTTGATTCTTATTATTAACTCTTGTGCTATGGGTGTCCTATTAAGGAATTTGGAGCCCAACCCCACAATATGTAGATCGTAGCCAACTTTTTCTTCTATCAGACGGCGTGTTTCTGATTTGATATCAAGCTCCTTGATCCATTTTGAGTTAACTTTTGTGCATGGCGAGAGAAGGGGATTCAGTTTCATTTTGTTGCATATTGATTTCCAGTTTTCCCAACACCATTTGTTGAAGATACTATCCTTCCTCCATTGCATGCTTTTAGCCCCTTTATCAAATATAAGATAGTTGTAACTTTGTGGATTAGTGTCTGTGTCCTCTATTCTGTACCATTGGTCCACCCGCCTGTTTTGGTACCAATACCATGCTGTTTTTGTTACTATTGCTCTGTAGTATAGTTTGAAATCTGGTATGGCTATGCCGCCTGATTCACACTTCCTGCTTAGAGTTGCTTTTGCTATTCTGGGTCTTTTATTTTTCCATATGAATTTCATGATTGCTTTCTCTATTTCTACAAGAAATGCCGTTGGGATTTTGATTGGCATTGCATTAAACCTATAGAGAACTTTGGGTAATATCACCATTTTGATGATGTTAGTTCTGCCTATCCATGAACAGGGTATATTTTTCCATCTTCTAAGATCTTCTTCTATTTCTCTCTTTAGGGTTCTGTAGTTTTCATTGTATAAATCTTTCACCTCTTTTGTTAGGTTGATTCCCAAGTATTTTATTATTTTGACGATATTGTGAATGGGGTGTTTTTCCTCATTTCCATTTCAGAAGTTTTGTTGCTGATATACAGAAATACCTTTGATTTATGCATGTTGATTTTATATCCTGCCACTCTGCTGAATTCATTTATTAGTTCTAGTAGTTTTTTTGTAGACCCTTTTGGGTCTTCTAGGTATAGAATCATGTCTCCCGCAAATAGTGTTAATTTAAGTTCTTCTTTTCCTATTTTTATGCCTTTAATTTCTTTCGTATACTCTTAGCTACTTTTGTTCTCTAGCCATCCCATATTTCAAGCCAATCATCATTAGATAACACTTCATATTAGTCATTCTTTTGTCCAAAGAATCTGAAATGGTACTGTAGCCTGCGACATCAGGTCCAAATTCCTGTGCCTCTTCCCTGCAGTCCTCTAGAACTGAGCCTCATCCTATCTATCAAATTTTATTTCCAAATTTTGATGCATACATTAAGACCAACTAATTCTCCACCCAAACGTATCCCATCCAACCCCTTTTCACCAGACCATTCTCCTCTAAGCATATTATGCTTGCTAAATTCTACCTTTGTCCCTTGGTTTATGTTAAACTTTCCTGAATTTCTTTTTCCTTACTCTCTGCTTTTCCAGATCTTCTCCATCCCTTAAGGCTCATAGGGAGATCCAATTTCCTTTATAAAATGTTCCCAATCATCATAATAACCAATATTGACTCCTCTGTATTCCTTTGCTATACACACGTGCATGTGTGCACGCGCACACACACACACACACACACACACAAACATATATTCTTATACCTCAAATGCTGCATCTTCCATAAGATTATATTCTGTTTTCAATTCTCTCTTTATTTTCATGTGCTAGTATGTTATAAATTGAAGGCCCTAAAAAAGACTTTACCTTCTCTCCCTTAACACCTAGCACAGGACTTGGTACACAAATTAATATTTTTTAATCAATTACTAATGAAGGTACCAGTGCTTTATTATATTCTAGAATTTGAGATGGAGAATGGGAGATGATTTAGAGTCTTAAAAGTTTCATGCCCCCAGAAATGTCTACTAGGGTTATATTTCATTGAGAATAGTGCTACAAAGCAGATATAAGGATTTAATGTTTCTCTGATTATATTCTTTAAATCTCTAATTTTTACACAAGCTTTTAAAAACAGAAAAATAGTCCATTTTTTATCTTGTTGGAAGATTTAGATGTTGAAATGGCCTATTTAAAGTGAATCATCAGTGTTTTAAATGTGCTGGGATATGGATATTGTATGGATAGAGTAGCAACCCAAATAAGAACACTAATAAATGTTTACATACCATCAAGTCTACAAACATTAAATATCATACAATGATATAATCTTTCCTATTCTATAATTTATCTCAATTTTTCCATTACTTTCTTTCATTTTCTCTTCTAGCTTTACTCACAGACAAGCCTCCCAAGCCATTGTTCCCCATGGAGAATCAGCCAAGTGTTATAGATGTCCAGCTGGGTAAGTCTCCTTCTGGGAATAATAGATCCTAAACTTGCTCTCTATTAACAGATGGGGAAAATTGCATGAACCAGGAAAGGTTTATTGCCACTGTTATTACATGCAAATCAATTTGCTTTCTGCTCATTTATAACCCTGGAGTTAGCAGTTTAAGGAAATGAATTTGTATTGCATCAAGGAATGGTAATACTAATTTGTTATGCTGGGTATTAAATGTGCTATATGACAGAGCTTTTTAACTCTGTGATTGATGGATTCATGCTGTCTTCCAGTGGTGATTGGTGAAGAAAATTTTTCATACATGTCAGCCAAAACATTTTATTTGGAGAGAATTAACTCCTGGAGGCCAAGCACATCTTAATATAAAACACAGCCCTTCAGTACTGCCTTTAAAAGGATTTGATAATATTATTTCCAATGACACAATCCAATGCTATTTAACAAAAAATTTAGATTGGGATCCTGAATATTTATGATTCATATGATGTTGGGGGGAAAAGTAACTAGTTGATATATGAACGCTACTGTCTTTTTACAAACTTGAATAAGGACATGAGAATTTGAGCCAATTTTGAGTGTGCTGCCACTAGTCCTTGTGAGTTTGAGTACTATAAGCTTGTTACTCAGAAGCCTGCTAGCATCTCTTTTAAGCTGTGGCCTTTAATCTAAACCCTGTTCTTTAACATTTGTGAGCTTTCATCTCTTGTGGATTTCACCCCACAATCCTCAATTTCTTCAATTCTAACCAAAAGAATCTCAAAAAAATTGAGTGTACAGGCAAAAAGTATATTAGACATACATTGGGTACATGATTTTAAAAAAATTGTGATCATAGTGGTAACCACCAATTATATATATAGTCAAGTAGGATGAATTGACTATAATATTTCATTCACTTTGGAATTTTTAGGCTCAACTTTTGATCTTTTCAATACAATTTTATATCTATCTTGGAAATAAGAGAGAGAAAATTACATTCCAAAGTGTTTGCTCACTGTTCTAAAATGAAATGTAGCACAGTACTTTCTAAATATAGAGTATCAATTTGAGGAGGACCAAAGTTAAATAGGTTAAAACTAAAAGAGGAGAAAATAATAAACATGTTGTCAAATATAACCTGTGGAAGTGGTGACTGTTTTGTAAATAATGTTGAACTATTGACTATGGCTCTTTCCACATTCCCTGTCTTATTTTGGAGGCATTATATTTTGTAAGATTCAGATTCAGATATTCTTATATCCTTACCCTCCAATAATTTTTACTTACACTTCTCCATTTCAAACTGGGATAAAAATATCTCTATGGTACTCTATAGTTTGTTAGGGATTACATAAAGCTATTTAATGATCTTGTATCATCAGTTTACATGGAGATTCTAGTGGAAAAGTTGTTTTATTTCAAAATTTATATATTAAGGAATGAAAACAAAATTCACCTAAAAATTATAGGTACATTTCATGTTTGTGGCCTCAGTGGAGATATCTTTCCATTCTGTTCTACCATTATTCACATTTCAACAGAAAAATTTGACAAGTACTGGTACACAGTAGTGAGAGGGACCTTTCTAATGGATATGTTTCATTCAATTCACTTGGTGCAACACCTATATATGCTATTCAGGGCACCTATTATGGTGTATATTTTATAAAGCTTTATATGAACAAGTAGTCCAACATAGGCATATATGCCAAAATATCCTATTGACAGTGCCATCCTTTAAAATCACTAAGGTAATTGACTGCCACATTACATTAAATGTAAGGCTAAACTTTTCAGTTTTTAGTTGGTAATATAATTTAGAGATAACTTTATTGACAGAAAGATAGAAAACTTCTCATGTTTTCATTCAAGATCTTCATGGTTTCAATGAGCATATGACTAGTTAATTATAAGTGAGTTTAACTTTTCTGCAAATTTATTAACACCATATATTCACAATGGGGAATCATTTTGTGAGGTGCTCATATACCTCAATTGTAAGGTGACATTAAGAGTGCTATAAATCTCAGAGAGATCCTCAGCCTCAGTGGGAGATCTGCAGACAGAATGATGAGAGTTTATAAAACTATAGATATAAAAAAGAAATAGAGAAAGATAACTGGGGCTATTGGACATCTCTATGGGGAACTTTCAGAATTCCATGAGGTAATAAAAACTTCTAGAAGTTGTTTTCTTTCTGCATCTAAAGTTTGTCAAGCAACATTTAGTTTCAGATATCCTCAAACTATAACTAAAATTAGAACTTCCCAAAAAGTACAGTAGTCCAATTCAAATTGTCATTAAGCATACTATCAAGTTTTGGTTTCCCAAATCCTAGCACTTAATAATTGAAATAACAATGTGGCATATTAAAATTGGTCCTAGATGTTTTTGCTACTCACATCATCTAAATGCGGACTTAATCTCCCCCTCACATTTTATTCTGGGTTGGCTTTGGAAATATGCTTTACCAGTAAAGTATGGCATAATTGATGTTCTGAGATTTTGGAGATCACATTGAGAGAAACTAGCAACTTCTATCCCAGTTTCATGGTTTGCTCTGAAACTATAATGCTACTTATAGCCCAAGCTCCAGGGAGAGACCCTAGAAGATAAGACACCATGTGGAAAGAGAAAGACCAAGGAGCACTTTCAAAGTGCCAGAAATATGAATGAAGAAGTTTTTTAGAAGTAGATCCCCCCAGTCCTAGCTAACCTGGCTTGTGTCACATAGATTAGAGGCAAACTACTGAAATGAACTGTTCTCAAATACTTGACGCAAAAATTATGAGTTAAAGTGAATGCCAGTGGCAAATAAATTAGAGATACTTTGTTAGGCAATAGTATATAACAAAAGTAAACATAAATTAGATTCTCTAGAGCATTCTTGATTCCATTTTTTCCCATGGATAAGAATTATGCAGCCAATTCATACAAAATGAGAAATACTGCAGAAAATATTTGAATACTAGGTTCAAGGTAGTTTTATAAAATAGAGTCTCCAACAATGGTTTAGATGCTTGAGGGTTATACTGCTCTCAGTTGTGGATATTTCTAAAGAAAATTCGGTGAACGAAAATTTTCAGTATAAATTCATATTGTTTAGTACATGGAGTTGGCATCAGTTCAGATTTTTTGTTGTGTCTCTAGAGGATAATAAACATCTCAACTTTCTTTCTCCTATAGTGTAATCCATTAGTCATCTGCAAGTTTTAGAAATTTACATACATTTTTGCTGACTTAGTGATGACAGTTTGGTTGTTACTAAATTGTGTTCACATTGTATTGCTGAAACAAGATTAATGTTAACCAAATAACCATATATTTTGTGATGATAAACACATTCATAACAAAATAGTCTAAAAACCATTGTTTTCACATAGCAAGCCTGTGTAGCTAAAGCTGCCTATGGTAATTTATGAAATATAAAGAGAAAAAACAATGTACAACACACACAAATCCAATTTTGTCCTTTTATCTTCCAATTATTATCCCTCGCTGGAGGTTAGTTCAAATTTGTAGAAAAAAAAAAAAACACTTTAACATACTAGTGCTAATTCTGTTCTCAGAAGTTGAGAAGGAATATATTTTAATATTTTCTAAGAAAACATTATTGCAATATATTAATTTATATTACACATTTAATAATAAACTCTTAAAACATCATAGGGACAGGTGCCCTATTTTAATGTATTGATACTAGGTAGATTCCTCTTTATATATTTGTTTTTGTTATGGCCCAAAATACAGTTTTTACAAACTTTAACACACTTCTAGAAGCTTTGAAAAGGGTATGAGCAAACATGGATTTAAAGAATTGAGATCAACTGTCTAATTTTAATTAAGGTGAATCTAAAAATGTGCCCTGTTCTCACAAACAATGATCATTTTCTTCATGGAATTTTTCTTAAGACTTAAAATAATCCAGACACTATTGTGTAGAAAATTAATACAAATCCTATAAATCCTACTTACTTTCTCCTTATAAGTCAAAAGGAAGTCTTGTGTTTGTGGCTGGGGGGAGTTAAGTCATATCAGAAAAAGTAAGACCAGTAGAACTGTCAAAGATAATTGCATTCATTGCCTTAAATGTTTCAAAAAGCCAATAGTTCACCTTTGGGTGAATTTGATCTAGTATAAAAGGTTCTCTTTCTTTCTTTCATTTCTATTCTAATTTTAGAATTTATTTTATTTTCACAGGCTATTCAAATACATATTTCATAACTGAGTTTTGTAGTACTGGCTTAAACTGTCTCTACGTGTGTAAGGATTGTTAATCTTCATCAGATATAAATTTCCCCAGCTTGTAAGTTTTTACTAAAAATTATATTATATCTCCTAAGAAACTTCTGAAAAAACTCTATAAGAGAATAAAGCAGAATATAACATTTAATCTAATAGTCAATATTAGAAGGCAAAAAACTAATTGAACCCCAAATTAAGAAATTAGCTCTTCAACAAAATCTATGTCTTTTTTTAAACTTTACTTATCTAAAAACATCTATTGAGTTCTTTTTTGAATATATTTTTAGTTGTTAATGGATCTTTATTTATATGTAGTGCTGAGAATCAAACCCAGTGCCTCACATATGCTAGGCAAGCGTTCTACCACTGAGTCACAAGCCCAGCCCTTCATTGAGTTCTTATTGTGTGTCAAGTACTTTGTTAGATCCTGAAGCTGTAGATGGGAATTAACTGAGATTCTTAACCTTAAGGGATTTTCAGTCTGATAAGAAACACAGGTATGTAAGCAGAATTGAAATGCAATAGGATAACTGCCAAAACAGAGATGAAAAAAAGAGAATGATTTTATTTATTTATTTTTTTTTTTTGTGGCAGGACCTCATAATATTAAAGGTGCCATGTTCTCAGGCTTTTACTAAATACAGTGACATAGCTAGGTAACCTCAACCCAAATACTAAATTTATTTGAAAGTGATTAAGAATTGTCAAAGACAGAATTTTTGAAATCACAATTTCTTCATCATTTGCTTCAATATGTCAAATCCTAAAATGGAAAC